TGTGCCCAGTTTTCTATTCACCCTTAACAGGATTTCTCTAAGCACAAGAGTATTTTTTTTAATTTTAATGGAGTCCAACTTTTCTCTTTTTGTTGCTGCTGCCTACTTAGAAAGTAAAGATTCACTCTTGCGACTTCTCGTAGGAGCGTTATGGTCTGGATTTTACATATAGATTGAAAGTCATTTTTTTTTAAAGCAGGGACACAATGGTAATTCTGGAAAAGTAAGGAACAGGAGACACAATGAAGACTCAACTTTCTCTTGAGAGATGGTATTGAGAGTGACAGGTATCCTTTTATTTCCTTGTCTTCCCTCGCAAAAGTTTATGACCAATGAAGAGAGAAGCCTTTCAGTGTGGCTGGCTCCAGACTCCCCTGTGCTGTGTGCTCCCTGTGTCCCACTCCCCAGCCCTTTCACCTCATTGGGTAACTAGTATCATTTGCCATTTTCATTCCCATATATAAGGAGTAGACAAACAAACCAACACATTTGTCCATCACAATCAGAAAAGTGGTACCACTCAGTTCTACTCTACTAGGCACCTTATTTCCTTGTTGGGCATTACTATTTCCTTAATTCTGTACTCATCAAGGTGATGAAACTCTAGCCTTTCCCCCAAGATAGTCTGAGTGTTTAGTAAATGACTGACCTGTAGGTATCTGAATTAGACGTAGGAAGACTCTAGTGTTGCCTTGGGTTCCCCCCTCTCAGAATGAAGTGTCTTTGGGTCACAGACATTCCTTGCCCCTCCCTGGAACAGAATTACTGTAACATTCTTTCCTTTCAGGCAAATGTTCTGGTCAAAATCTGAAGTTCCAGTGGTGTGGTTAGTGGTTGGCTGAACAAGTGGGGATGAGTTCGAGTAGAAATGGAGTCAGTCATAATTCTTGTAAAGGATTAACTGCTGATCCTTGCTCTCAGCTAACCTGCAAATGTGATAAAATATACTAGTGTTGGTTTTTTGTCTTGCCTGCCTGTCAGAGACAACTGAGAGGATGTTTCTACTGATATAACCACAACACAGTCTTCTCATTTGTGGATTCTGTAGATGCCGATGGTAGACTGGTAGATTGTGTAGTTAGGGACATAGTGGTTATATCTGTACTGAATATGTCCAAGCTATCCTGTATATTATTCCCTAAACAACACCATGTAAAAAGTATTTTCATAGTATTTACATCTTGCATGTATTATAATTAATATAGAAATGATATGGAATAAACACAAATATGTATGATAGTAATCCATAAACACTGTTGGATGAAGATTTAAAAAAAAAAAACAGCTCTGTCTTCAAGGACAATAAGAGATCATTTATACTAGAGCCGAATATTAGTGACTGTGGCAAAGGAACACAGAATTAGATGTTTAGATCTTATTTTTCTATGTGGCCATGATTTCATGAAAATTTTATAGTAGCAGAACCAAGAAAATCACAAATCAACACTTTAAAAATATTGCTAGAAATATCAGTGGGTTACAGCAAAGCAGGGAACTTCTGCTGTGGCCCTCAGATGACATCTGAGGACATTCTTGTCTTCTGGGTTGATGCAATCCAGTGACCTGTTAAGTTAATGTACTCTAAAAGGTTTCACACAACAATCACAAGGACATTAATTGAATTACAAAAGTGGGCAAGGAATAGCTATTAAGGAGGCTAAAGATATGCCTTGTCCCAAATTGTAGCCAGGCTCTGAACCTGAAATATCCCAACCTCTCTATGATCACTGCAATTCTCAACAGTCTTCATGGACTGTTTAATGTCTTTCCAGGAACTTTAGTCATATGGTCCATTAGTATCTACTGAATTTGAGCCAAACCCCAACCTATTGCTATGGGCTTAGATTTTTCAAAACCTACTTTAATACGGGTCCTTAAACACTTTTACCTCCATTCTAGCCCACCACCTATCAGAAGTAGTGGAAAGGAAAGGTCAGTAGGACAAAGCTGAATGTGGACCTGTTTAGAAATAGTTCTTTTGGGTGACTCCAGTCTTCATTGTCAAGATATCAGCGGTTTAGCTCACAAAAATCATCAGCGGTAGCTCGATACACTAGCAAACACCATTTCTGAATCAGCAATGTCACTTCAATTCAGAAGAAATTGTGAGGCTCTGCTAGTTGGCCCAAATCTATGGAAGCAGCAAGAAGCTGACAGAATATCAGGAGAAGTTCTTTGGTGCATTTCTTTCTACAAGGCCACAACAAATGATGATCAGCAAGGAAGGCAAGGTGAACCAGTACTACAGTGTTGCCCACCATCTGTAGGCTTATACTTACACCCTTTCCAAACAACATGTTCTCTCAAGTGTCTGCTCTAGCAAAACATCACATGTACTTTTTCCAGGCAGCTTCCAGAAAAACATCATGTGTCTGTTCTCAGCGAAATATCCTCCCATGTATCTGCTTCAGCAAAACATCCTCTTATAAGACAGTTTCCAGCAAAACATGACATGACACAACTGAGTCTCAAACAAAAAAAAAACCCAAAATTTCTACTTCATACTGTGGTACTGCAGAAAAGCTTAAGGCAGTGGAGCGTGCAGCAAGGTTAGCCGGGTAGAGAAGCTTTTCCTGTCCTGTAGTCTTAGCCATTTTGTTGAAGAACAAAAATTACACTAACTCTGTCAGCTCTAGCTCAGAACATGCAAAATTGATTAGGTCTTACAGTTTAAACAACTTACAACAATCCTTGCATTAAATCTGATCTCACAAGCCGTGATTCAGGCTGTGAATTCTAGTCCTACAATATTAGAGAGTAATAAAAAGTATTTTACTATGGCACTTGACATTCACATATGTGTACTCACAGGCACAGGCATTGTCTAGCTATACTGTAGATTCCAAAAACTTGATTACAGTATATAATGATATATAATATAGTATGAACATTAAGACAATTGAAAATAAACCAAAATGTTTTTATGCTTTAAGAGCAGAGAAACATTGACAAGAAATTATCCTTAGGTATCGAGGTCTGTTTCTAGCCATTCTTATTCATGATTTTTTTTCATTTTTTATTGGATATTTTATTTACATTTCAGATGTTATCCCCTTACCACATTTCCCCCACACACACCCAGGAACCCCCTATCCTATCCCCCCTCCTCCTGCTTCTCTGCAGATGTGCCCCTACCTACCCCCCCAACTCCCACCTCCCCACCCACAAATTCTCTCACACACAGAGTCCAGCCTTCATGGGACCAAGGATCTCCTCTCCCATCTATGCCCAACAGGGCCATCTTTCCCTACATATACAGTTGGAGCCATGGATCCCTCCTTAAGTGCTCCCAGGCTGGTGGTTTAGACCCTGGGAGCTCTGGTTGGTTGGTATTGTTGCTCTCCTCATGGGGCTGCAAACCCTTTTAGCTCCTTCAATCTTCACTCTAAGTCCTCCATTGGGAACCCTATGATCTGCTCAATGGTTAGCTGTGAGCATCTGCCTCTGAATATGTCAAACTCTGGCTTATTCATGATTTTATTATGCCAGCCACCAGCCTTGTCTACACATAATTGATGTGTTCAAGATTAACTTGCTTTCTCTCCTAGAAGCTGTTTTTATTCTTGCCATTTTCCCAGAAAGAAACTGAGCATTTAGGACCAAGTGGGAATCAAATGTGTCCGTGGGTGGTTGAATTATTCACACATTTTAATTAAGTAGTTTTTCAGGTGGGTTCAACACATATTTGATTTGTAACACGTGGTATCAGTATATGCCAGTTTATAGGGAGAGAGGACGGCCCTGAAAACCGGGAAGGGGATTGTTGTCAGGGGCAACAGAAAGCATTCAACCAGGAACCTGATGGGACTAACAGCCACATAGTGGTAAACCTAGCATGTCAGCTGATGTGACCATACAAAATATGTGACTCTAGACTAAGCCCTCTGCACCCTGCTCCTCTCTCCTTGGCTTATACTGAACCTTACTACAAACAGCTCCATGATAGGGGCTCCCTTCTTTTCAGTATGTTTTGCTGACACGTGGCGTCAGTGCTGCTGTACTCAGTAAATGGATGGACACCCCAGGCTCTCATCAGAAGGAGGCTAGCTCAGAGACATGTTCCCTATGTCCTCAGAGAGCTGTCACTGTGACTGAGTCCCTGAGGCAACATCAATAGCACCCTCCATAATGGTCCCTCTTTGGCTATCTTCCTTTTCCTGTCTTACCACCATCTCCCCAGTGCTTACAAGAATCTGCTAGGTAAATCAGCTGCCCCAATTGCTTGTATGTTGGAACAAGTCAACTATTACTATTGGGAGAAAGCTTTTATGATGGCAGACAAGAGCTTTCCACGCCGCCATGTGCGGCTCTCGCAGTTCGGGCCCATCTGTCTCACCTAAAGCCCCTGAAAATGTGCTGTGTACAACAGCCTCCTTGTAGTATGTTTGCGGAAAGTAAATGAAGAGACTAAAGTTCCCTACAGGGTTCCATGTGAAATGACAATAGGAGGCACTCAGACAAGAATGAGGAAGGCTCAGAGGAAGCAAGGATGGTGCCTACAAAGAGAACTCAGATACAAACGACAGTGATACAGACTTTCTCCACGGGTATCGGGAGAATGGCTCCAGCCATATTAATTAAATATTTAGGCAAATTGTGATCAAATCAGATGGAAACCTTGACCATACGCAGATGGCTGATGTGGTCTTCACAGTTATCAGTCCTTTGAACATCCTTCTCTCAGGTTGGAGTAAGGTCAGAGAGACTACTGAAATCCCCTTCATAGAGGTGATGGCTTGCACATGGCCTGAAGGAAAGACACTATTCATAGTTAACAGGAGGCTGGGTATCCTTCAGTGGGTAGCCTAGACTGGGCTGGTTGTGTGTGGGAAGGGGTATGAGGAATGTTGACAGTTACTCTGAACACTAAGGACTTGGATGATGCACTTCTGAGACTCTGAGCGACTGAGCAGTCTAGGGACACAACAGTGAGTGAACCAAAGTGAATTTTGTACCTCACATTTTTACATAAATGTATTACTAATTTTATATAGAAGTCATTACAAGAGCAAAATTGATTTTTAATTGAAAAAATGTATACATTGCATTCAGAAAAGCAAATTTATGAGCCACAAGATGATTAATTATATCATAAACTTACAACATTATCCTTTAATGAATTATTCTAAGCAGGGAATTTATTACCATGAACATTGGTGCCTAAGTTACAAACGTTGCTAAATGCAGGGAATCTGTTTGGTACTGAAGTCAGAAAGCCAATGAGATACTTCTTCCTCCTTGAGGGAGTATCCAGTCATAACTCCTGGTCAGTGTGTTTTGCCTTCTCTATCTGGAGCTTTAGTAGTTCAATCTCCAGAGTCAGCTTGTAGACCTCCAGAGCCATTTTCACATCATTTGAATTTGGCAGACATTGCATGGTCTTCTTGCCTGCAAACACATGCTCACAGTCTTTACTGGCTTCCTGAAAGAGATGCAGGTTTGAGATAGCAGTGAGTGCCTTCAGCTGATCATCAAGAAATAGGGCAACAGTATTATTACATGGTCTAGAAAAATAGAAGGCAGTATTCTTAGGCCTATGGAAGCTCACTTTTTACAGGAGTCAGTGTTTCATATACTCAAATAAAAATAGAAAAATGTTCTATGCCAACTCCCCAAATGACTTGAGACAACAGCAAAACAAAACAGGTTCTCTGAATGACTTAGAAATGATCCACGGCAAGCCAGGGGTCAGCACTATCGGCTGGGATAAGCACTTTAGTGTTTGATGGCACAGAAGCTCTTGATCTGTGTTACTTACCTGCTCACATCTGGGCACCTCCGGGTACCAGGTTCTGTTCTCTGAACAAGTGATGCTTTGGGAACCCAGCATGACAAACCCAGAGTAACATTGGATGGTGACATTTTCAGATTCAACATACTGATCTTTATCAGCAGACAGCGTTCCATTTCCTATCTCTGGTTTCTGACATAAAGCTATAATGAAAACATGTTTTAGATAACCGTGATCTGAGGGAAAAGACATGGTAATAGTCTACAGTAAAAAGAATGAACTGAATTTGTGTGTAGTTTATCCTGTTTTCCATTTATTTTGTTAGCAAAATATTGAATATTTGTGACAGTGTATGTATACAATATGATTTTGACTTAAGTCTCCAGATACTCCTGCTAAGTGAGTGTATTATTTTTCTGTTTTATATAAAAGAAAATTCAGATGCAGAAAAGGTAAGAAATTTGTCCATAGGTATAATGGGCTTAAACAATAAAATGACAGGACATTTTAAAGGTGTGTATGACCCTGGATTCCCCCTTGACATAGTAACTCTTACTTCAAACAGTTCTGTAAGACTCTGATCATAAAGTTCTGATATTTTTATTTGTACAGTGGAAATAATTGTGTTAAATAATCAATTACTGTAAATGTAGCTCTACTAATAGTATATAAACATAAAATAAGACCTAATCCTAAATCCTCCTGCTCCCTACAACTAATTGGCGCTGGGTTTTCTCAACATTCATCACCTATATCATGGTAGATGGTATTTTGGCAGAAGTTCTGATGGCAGAACCTGTCACTCTAATATTTGAAAATATCCCAACAGAGCCTAAATTGATGCCAGAACAAGTTTTATTGAAGATTTTCTATAGGACCATTCATGTAATTACAAAATGTTTTGTCCCCAGAGTATTTCTGAAAACATATATAAAGAAAGTAACAATATGAGCTGCCCCAAGAAAGTTGGTACTTATAACTGGGAGAAAGAAGTAGAGGAAGTGATGTTGTATATGGATTTTATGGTTTTGTATGGAATATCATCTGTTTATGTTTTTTATTTAAAATAGACAAAATTGGCTCTATCAGAAGACTTCGAGAAGTTTAGGTAAACCGCCCACCTGCCAGACTCCCCCGCTCGCTCACTCCCTCGGCTTCGTCCTCCCATCCTAGTCCCAACCCACACCCAGGCCCTCCTAGCTTCCTGCTAGTCTGCAACTAGCACAGAGACTCCCTACTCTATTAGAAACCACACAGACTGTTAACCAGGAAAAGCTTCCAGTGGTGGGACTTGAACACCAACCCAGAAAACCTTCAACCTGTAATCTATCCTGCCTGCTAGTTGTACTAGGGCAATGGTAACAGAACTTGACACAGAACTTATGGCAGTGGCCAACCAATGGCAGGTCTACCTTAAGGCCCATACCACACAAGGGAGCCCATGCCCAACACTGCCTAGACAACCAGGAATCAGAGGCTGGATGGCCCAGAGATCTATGATAGAAAAAAATCAATAAAATAATTCCTAATGATATCCTTATGTACTTATAGATGGTGCTTAGCCCAAGTGTCATTAAAGAGGCTACCAATGGTAGCTGATAGGAGCAGATACAGAGACCCACAGCCAAAAAAACAGGTAGAGCGTCAACCCAATTGAAGATCTCCATTGGGCTCCACCCCTTGGAGCTTGGGGAACCTCATGGAAGAGAGGAAGAGAGAATATAGGAAGCAAAGGGGCCAAGTAAACCAGGAGAATGAGGCCCAAGAACACCAACTAAGCAGAGCTCACAGGGATTCAGAGACTGAAATAGCGATCATGGACCCTGCATAGGATTCTGCTAGGTCCTCTGCATATGTTATAGTTGTTAGCTGAACACTTTTGTGGGACCCCAACAGTAGGAATGGGGTGTCTCTCATTTTCATCTGTTCTTGAAACCCTTTTCTTTTGAGTTGGAGATATCACCCAGCCTAGATATGAAGGTTTGTAACTAGTCTTATTTGATTTTGTTATGCTATATTCAGTGGATATTCCTGGGAGGCATTTCTTCTCATTTCTGAAGGGAAGTGGAAGCAGAATGGATGGGGGGGGATTCTGGGGGGCAGGTGGGAAAAATGGAAGGAAGGGAACTGCAATGGGGATGTATTGAAAACAAAAAGTTAAAAAAGAAGGAAGGAAAGAAAAGAAACTCATGTCATTACAAGAAAAAAAATGAAATATATTGTCCTTCATCTAGCAGGGAATAACTTTGCTATCCAATCCTGAAAGCAATTCTACCCCTGTGGCCATGAGGTGGGAAGGAGATATCATTACCTTTACACTGTGGAGCTGCTGCTCTCCATTGTGAAGACGTGCAGGAGATGGTTGCCTCTCCAATCAGTCTGTATCCTTCATCACATTCATATGTGACCTTAGTTGTGTAATTCGGTAGAATAGATTTTGTATAACCTCCGTGGGCAATGACAGGTGGTAAATTACAACCTTGACGATGGGACACTGGAAAGAAGGTGAACTTGTAAAGTGTGTCAAACAGCACTTCTCAGGATTTATGTGTCTTGGATGCTTCATGCTATGCTTCTTTCTTCCCTACCTGTAAGATCACTGGACCAAAGTCATGTGCTTGGGCTACCTTCCTGGAAGTCTTAGGTTCAGGAACTTGAACACTTCAAACTATACACTGGCATAATTTGAATTGTGAATTTTCTCCTGTGACCTACAAGTTAAAGGTTTAGCTCCCAGATGACATTATTGGGCAGTGTTGGAAACTAGTACAAGGTGGAGCCCCATGGGAGGTCCCCAGGTCACTAGGGGCTTGCTTTTTGTGGAGAATGTGTATCTCCAGCACTCTCTTCTCTTTCCTTCTTCTCTGGCTCATGACTGTGTACATTGTTTTGCTCTGGCTTACAGTCCTGTCATGATGTGTCACCTTCACACAAGTGCAAAGCAACAGAACCAAATCTGAAACAAACTGAACCTTTCCTCTCTGTAAGTTGATTGTCTCACATGTCTGTGGTACTGACAGAAAGCTGACAACACAAGCCGTTCCCTTTTCCTTCCTTTTACAGACTATCACAGTGTTTAGGGTCCACTTTTTATACAAAGGCTGGATCCCATTCCAGGTTACACCTTGTCTGTGGTGTATAAGATACGATCAATTCTATATTTAATACTCAGATGTATAAAGGATGCCAATTTTTTTTTTCACTAAAACATTGAGGGTAGTCAAGTTAAAGACCATAGCAATATAGAAAGGGGCTGTCTGCTTTCCCTGCTTTCCTGATGACAATACGTTTCACAAAAATTAATCTCTCAAGCCTCTGCCTTTTCCATGCCTAAAATAAATGTATGTGCAGTCTTCCTGCTTGTCAACACAGACAGATCCCAGCAGGATGCGAGGAATGTGGGAACAGACTACAGTTCTTGATCATAGCTATCCTAGCTTTGAGACTAGGACTACCCTCTCATTACCTGTTAGATCTCTTAGCTATGCAGCTCTTTGTTAAAACAGTAGTTGAGACAAAGTTCCAAGCCACTGCTTTGGAAGAGTTATTTCCCAGGTGTTTTTTTTGGAAAATGTTCTTAAACTTCTATTTTTTTTTTAATTGGATATTTTATTTACATTTCAGATGTTATCCGCTTACCACATTTCCCTCTAACTCAGGAATCCCCTATCCTATCCCCCCTCTTCCTGCTTCTATGAGGATGTACCCCCACCCACCCACCCCATTCCCACCTCCCCACTCTCGAATTCCCCACACTGGCTGTCCAGCCTTCATGGGACCAAGGATCTCCTCTCCTACCTATGCCCGACAGGGCCATCCTCCCCTACATATACAGCTGGAGCCATGGATCCCTCCTTAAGTGCTCCCAGGCTGGTGGTTTAGACCCTGGGAGCTCTGGTTGGTTGGTATTGTTGCTCTCCTCATGGGGCCACAAACTCTTTCAGCTCCTTCAGTCTTCGCTCTAACTCCTCCATTGGGAATCCCATGATCAATTCAATGGTTAGCTGTGAGCATCCACATCTGAATATGTCAGACTCTGGCAGACCTCTAAGAAGACAGCTATATCAGGCTCCTGTTAGCATGCACTTCCTGGCTTCCACATCAGCATCTACCTTTGGTGACTGCACATGGGATGGATACTCAGGTGGAAAGGTCTTCAGATGGCCCCTCCTTCAGTTTATGTCCCTCACTTTGTCTCCATATTTGCTCCCTTGAGTATTTTGTTACTCCTTCTAAGAAGGACCGAATCACCCCCACTTGGTCTTCCTTCTTCATGAGCTTCATGTCTGTGAGTTGCATCTTTGGTATTTCGAGCTTCCGGGCTAATATCCAATTATCAGTGAGTGAATATCATGTGTGTTCTTTTGTGATTGGCTTACCTCACTCAGGATGATATTTTCCAGTTCCATCCTTTTACCTAAGAATTTCTCGAATTAATTGTTTTTAATAGCTGAGTAATACTTCATTGTGTAAATGTACCACATTTTTTGTATCCATTCCTCAGCTGAAGGACATCTGGGTTCTTTCCAGGTTCTGGCTATTATAAATAAGGCTGCTATAAACATAGTGGAGCATATGTCCTTGTTATATGTTGGAGCATCTTCTGGGTATATACACAGGAGTGGTATAGCTGGGTCCTCAGGTAATGCTATGTCCAATTTTCTGAGGAACCACCATATTGATTTCCAGAGTGGTTGCACCATCTTGCAATCCCACCAATAATGGAGGAGTGTTCCTCTTTCTCCACATCCTCGCCAGCATCTGCTATCACCTGAGTTTTTGATCTTAGCCATTCTGCCTGGTGTGCGGTAGAATCTCAGGGTTGTTTTGATTTGCATTTCCCTGATGACTAAGGATGTTGAACATTTCTTTAGGTGCTTCTCAGCCATTCAAGTTTCCTCAGTTGAGAATTCTTTGTTTAGCTCTGTACTCCATTTTTTAATAGGGTTACTTTGTTGTCTGGAGTCTATTTTCTTGAGTTCTTTGTATATATTGGATATTAGCCCTCTGTCAGATATGGGATTGTTAAAGATTTTTTCCCAATCTGTTAGTTGCCATTTTGTCCTATTGACAATCCTTTGCCTTACAGAAGCTTTGCAATTTTATGAGGTCCCATTTGTCAATTCTTGATCTTAGAGCATAAGCCATTGGTGTTCTGTTCAGGAACACCCTATGCCTCAGTATTAGACATTCTTCCCCACCTTCTCTTCTATTAGTTTCTGTGTATCTGGTTTTATGTGAAGGTCCTTTATCAACCTTGAGCTTTGTACAAGGAGATAAGAATGGATCAATTTGAATTCTTCTACATGCTGACCTCCAGTTGAACCAGTTACAATTTGTTGAAAATGCTGTAATTTTTCCACAAGATGGTTTTAGCTCCTTTGTCAAAGATCAAGTGACCATAGGTGTGTGGGTTCATTTCTGGGGCTTCAATTCTATTCCAGTGATCTTCCTGCCTGTCTCTGTACCAATACCATACAGTTTTTGTCACTATTGCTCTGTAGCTTGAGGTCAGGGATGGTGATTCCTCCAGAAGTTCTTTTATTGTTGAGAATAATTTTTGCTAACCTGGGTTTTTTGTTATTCCAAATGAATTTGAGAATTTCTCTTCTAACTCTGTGAAGAACTGAGTTGAGATTTTAATGGGGATTGCATTGAATCTGTAGATTGCTTTTGGCAAGATGGCCATTTTTACTATATTAATCCTGCCAATCCATGAGCATGGGAGATCTTTCCATCTTCTGAGATCTTCTTTGATTTCTTTCTTCAGAGACTTGAAGTTCTTGTCATACAGATCTTTCACTTGCTTGGTTAGAGTACACCAAGATAATTTATATTATTTGTGACTATCGTGAAGGGTGTCTTTTCCCTAATTTCTTTCTCAGCTCATTTATCCTTTGAGTAGAGGAAGGTTTCTGATTTGTTAGAGTTAATTTTATATCCAGCCACTTTGCCGAGGTTGTTTATCAGCTGTAGGCCTGAACTACAAAGCAAAATCTTATTTTATGAAATGATTGTTTGAATGTCACAATTCCTTCCAAGAATTCTTTGCTTATATCAGTTTCAAGCCTATGCTACTGACTAAAGAAGGTTAATGTTATTTAAATTTTATTTCACATATGTGTATAGTAAATGGAGAAATTAGCAAGTGTGGTGGTTTGAGTGAGGATGATGGCCCCTTAGGCTCATGGATTTAAATGCTTGATCACTAGGGAATAGCACTATTTGAAAGGATTCGGAGATGTGTCCTTGTCGGAAAAAAAAATGTGTTACTGGGAATGGCTTTGAGGTTTCAAATGCCCCCATCAAGCCCAGAGTCAGTCTCTCTCTCTCTCTCTCTCTCTCTCTCTCTCTCTCTCTCTCTCTCT